AATTAGCACATGCTAATGCTCACCAATCAGACGCTCGCGTTTCAGCGCCGCCTTTTCAGCGCGTGTTATTCGACTTCTTTTGTGCAGCTTTGACAGGAAATTAGATGACTTGTCTCTGTTTGAACTTTTCACAATGGCGTGAAAGTGGAGGGAAGTGGAGGAGGGACAGCAGACATAATTATCTCAGTTGTACAAGTCTGCTAGCAAGGAAATTTCATTATTAAAGGCCTATTTGATGCCAAAACTATTACAGTAAAATTCAGGCTTTCTTAAATAGCAGCATATTTTTAGATAGTTGATGTCTAATGTTTCCTCAAACTTTCTTATTTGCTTTACTTTTTTATTCACGGGAGTTGATTATTTTCGCATATCTCAAGGTGTTTCGCATTATACTTTTTAGCCATTTGTCAATAACAAGCTAAAACAAGTTCATTCCTGTTATCACTTGCGCTATCGAAGCTATAAACAGTCATTCCATCACTAACATCTATTTTTTTTTTATTTCTCTTAAAGTTAGTAAGACAAAACATAAACATGCAGCTTGTCATAATATTGGGAACAAGAAGTCCATTTCAATTTTAGAAAAAAGTTAGAGCTTTACCTGACACTAGAGACTCCTTCCAAAAATGTCACATAAATGTCTCCTCACAGAAGCCTTGACCGTATCAGTAATTATGCACTTTTTTAATATGGAGCATCCACCATACATACAAGTCTACATGAATTAGCTTTTAATGCACTAACCTAACCTGTGATTTGTGGCTGCACTACTATCAGAGCTGCGATTACAGAGAATTAATCAGCACCTTCTGACCCATCAGAATGACGAGTTTAACAGCGCTGTGGTAGAATTTTCTTTCATGACCAATTCATGCTTGTTCACATCTAGAAAGACAGATTAATAATAACCTAGCATAAATACACACACAAATGCATACCATTCTTTCGTCATGTCCGATATTTTAGAGAAGCATCTGCTTTGTTTTGACTTGCAAGATCTTGATTAGATCAGACTGTAGCTGTACGTTGCTCTCGCTGGCTGACGAGGCCAGAGAAAACAAGCGCTGCTTCCCTGACAGACGCTGCCATCGCGCTGAGCCCTAATGTAATTTCCTCTGAAATATGAAATGCTGGATGCTTGTCTCCAGGGAAAAGCAGGGCAGATATTACAGGCTAAATGCACTCTCTTGTGCTCTAATCTCCAAACCGCTCTGCTTAAATCTGGAGGCTCAGCAACGGATGCTGATTGGGTTTGAAGATAGCAGTCCGTTTTTACAATAATGAGGTACACGAGGTACATGATTAGTCACAAAGTAAGAGAGTTTGGCTTGATTTTTGCTGAGTGGTGTCTCGGTACATTTCATTAGCTGCCTGATTCCAAAAAATTCTTGAGGTAACATGAGTCTATGAGGGATATATTTGCCAAAATAGGAACCTAGCTAAAAAGTTTAGGTTAGCACAATGGTTTTTCCAGGAATTTGGGGAAAATCTCAAGGTTTTCTGCTTGTTCTGTGAACTTTCTATGTAACAATTGCTGCAAAAACATTGGGCCTCATTCATCAATCTTTGAGTAAAGTTGTGTGTCAGTGTTTGCATGAGCTGGATTTACAAGTTTCATAAAGGCTGATTTTCTGTGTGTATGTTGATAAATGGCAATCACCCATAAATTACTGCCCATGTGCACACCACAGCTGATTTGTTTGTGGTGACGCCCACAAACCTCCATAAAAAAGGCCAAGTTCACAGAGCGGAAAGCACAAATTGGCTATTAAACAGCCAAAAAAAGAATTTCTCTGAGGCAGGAGCTAAAGTACTTTTGACTCATGTCTACGAGAATAAAAAATGATTATTTCATAGCATATACAGCAGAATCACAGCACCTGAAAAGACCAAAATATGGAGAGAAATTACGGAAGTGAATTCTGTTTTGTCCATCCAGCACAATATGATTGAGCCTGTCAAAAGACAATGGTTTGACATAAAAACTAGTATTACTCAAAAAAGTATTACTGCTAAACGACAGAGGCCAAACCATGTCAAAGCTTTTTTTTTTTTTTTTTTTAAATTGAGCAGATGCCATGACAAACGGAGCCAATTTATAAGATAGTTTTCATCCTCCAGAAAAAAAAAAAAAAAAACAAACAAAAAAATCATACAGGTCTCTAAATATCCATTGCCTCTTAAGGGCATCATGTGATAACTCTTCCAGTAATATCAGTTCTATTTGCACCACCTCGGCTTACAGCTGCCATCTGCACAGAATAGCACATCATCCTTTGTGTATTTCATTTGTGTGTATTTGAAATAAACTGACAGTGAACTTGACAGCGTAATCCGTATATAAAAATGCAGTAAGTCATCGCAAATGATACGATTCAAAGTTGATCAGTTGCGAGTTACATTAGTTAGTCTTCTCATGCATAAATTTACACAGACTCAGGAGCAGGAATAAGATACGAATGTTTTTCCAAATGTACATTTATGTATATGTATATTTGCTCATATGAACGATTTACGCATAAATACGCATTCATATCCATACCCAATGTTGGAATGTTAATGCAGACAATTCCATAATGTTAGATTATAGCTAACTAGGACAAGGCAGTTGTGTAATTCATGTTGTGTAAAACCTGGATGGATGCTCTGATAATGTTCCCTGTTAGCTGGAATTTGTATCCATTTTAATTATTGCCAGTTCTCACTCTCTAGCTAGGTTTCTTTACCACTAATGTGTGATAGTGACACTGAACACACTGGAAAAACTAAGAATTCATGGATAAGCGTATTTAAATTTAGTGCCGAATTTCCACTTCAGTAAAATATGTATATAAAATATACATGTCCATGTTACTACAATATATTAAGAGCATATTTCTATGTGTTTCTATTTAATGAGTTTAACGTAAACCTATTTAACATTGCTGGATTTACATATTTTACTTATGTGGAAACTTTCCCCTTGATTTCCATAGTTTTATTTTTTTGAGTGCACTTGCTAGCACATTTGGTTATTGGTAGAAATTAACCGATATAATAGCTGGTGTGTAAGGAATAAAATCAACTACAGAGTGGTGTAATGTGGCCCAACAGGAAACAGAATTACTGTTACCACCCTGAAATGGATTATTTTCCTATAACAGTAAAGCATTACAAACAGTATAAAATCTACTTAAAACACTAGCTTGGTTTTAATGACACAATATAATAATTAGCTCAAATTGGCTAGTATGTAAATAAGCTAGTAGCTAGCTAGTGCTTTGTTCGGGTAGCTGGCTTACTCGTCTAATGTTGCTAAATCGGGACAATTTTTTTATTTAATTCTTTTCATTTACTCCTTTTTTGGTGTGTAATTTGTGCTGTGTGGCAAATAGACACTCTGCTCCTAAGTCACACTACAACTGAAAAATATTTCAGTAAAAAAGTATTTGACTAATGCTTGTTATTTCAAGCTGGTCTTCATTTCACCAGACAAAAAAAATCTTTATGTATCGTTAACATCTCAGTAAAATTTGCGAGCTGGGATTTTTATTTATGTAATAGATTTTATGAGACATCAGGTCAAGCACTTTTCCCTGAGATGGAGACTTTGAGGGATTAAGAAACACTCAGACATTCTTTACAAGCCTTTAAATCTCCTAGCCGCTGCACAGCAAATGGATTTTTAATTGTCTGATAATGAGGTTATTGCGATTGTATTATCACACTATGGCTAATGTATCATTAGCATTTGAATAGGTTTGGCCTAATGAGGTCAGCGGGGATGAGAGATAAATGATAATAAGTTTGTTATCAAACAGCCTGTTTTGAATATTAAGGTATGAAGTACAGGTCAGTTTGTTACTGATATTCAATAAAGAATGTCTTTTAGTGTTCCCAAGCTATTTCTGGTCAGGTTTAGCTCATTTAAAGAGGATCTACTAGGCAGAAATGAGAATAATAAAGGATGCAGTTAGTATGTAAATTAGGCCAAATTAACTTCAGCTCCGAATGAGCAGTGTAATTTATTCAGCCTCTCATAAACTCAAATTCAGATTTTACCATAATTTCAATTTATCATCAAAATGATTTACATGGTTAGTTTTTTAGCTTTCAGAATACTGTAAAAAAAAATGAACACAGCTCCCTTTTTTCCTCATCCTTGTTGGCATAATTTTCAGTAGCACTTCATACTGCAGTACAGTAACTACCTGTTATATCACACCACTGTTGAATTCTCAAATCTGATTGGTCAGAATGTGATGAATTTTCTATAACAGCAGCTCAGTAGTTCTGGCCAGGGACAAAAACAGAGGCACCAAGTTTTACTTATAAAGGTGCAAATATCTTTCACCAAGCGTACGTGCGCGCACACCTGCTATGCGCGCGTCATTATTCAGATGCTCACTTGCTTGTCTTATGAATATCTGAAGGATTATAAATAACGTCTACTAAATGTCACATCAGAGACAAAACATCTGTGTCCATTTAGTTTCCAAGTTGAACTGTAATGTTTAGCGATTTCATGCGCAACGACGTTAAACAGACGGATGAGCTCCGTTTCTTTTTAAAACTTTCTGCTGTCATCGTGATTGTTGTCATGATCTGTGTCTCAAATCAAAAACTCTCAGCATACATTCAAAAGTATTTACTAATCTAGAAAATCCAGAAGCCTGGTCCTTAAAACAGACCTTTCAGTAGAATTAAGAGGATTTTAAAATCAAGCACTAACTGTAATAGGAAAACTGTTAGTATTATTTCTCAGGTACAGTCCAGAATAGTACAGTATTCACGTTGGTATTGCACTACACGGACGCACAAGTGACACGCCAAACAACTCCAGGATACACATAAGGCAGCCATCTTGCATACATGTAATTAACAGCAAGTGTAAATCATCCTTTAGTACTACATTATCGGCTGTTAAATTTTGAGTAATTAATGTATTGATGTTCTGCTGTACAAACCTGGAAAGTTCCAATATGCAAATTATGTACCAGAAATTATCACGTAGCAGGGCACGTTTAGTGGTTTAGTGATTAGCATGTTTGCCTTGCATCTCCAGAGTTGGGGGTTCGATTCCCTCCTCTACCCTGTGTGCATGGAGTTTGCATGTTTTCCCCGTGCTTTGGACGTTTCCTCCCAGGCCAAAGACAGGTTGATTGGCATCTCTAAATTGTCCATAGTGAGTGAGTGTGAGTGCAGTTGTGCCCTGTGATGGGTTGGCACCCTCTCCAGGGTGTCCCCCTGCCTTGTGCCCCGGGTCCCCTGGGATAGGCTCCAGGCTCCCTGCAGCCCTGTGTAGGATAACTGGTACAGAAAAATGGATGGATGGAAATTACCACATACTTATCTGATAAATACTAGGTATGTACTGTGCTGTAAAATAAAGTGCTAGCCAATTTTCTCTTTCATCTGGGCAAAGTTGTTTTTCATGAAGAAGCTGGTGCAGTGTGTTTCCTCTTGATAGCTGAGTGACCAGACTTCTGGAAAATTCTGCTTTCTTCTTTCAGGTGCATTCCCCAGAGGATCTAAATCTAAACAATTACATACGCCGAATCCCTCTGCTGTCTTAGATAAGTGCCCTGAGCAGGTCATTGTACTTTGAACGGAAAGTGATAAAACGTGTTTCTCCAAGAATCCTCCATACTTTTGGTTGCTGATATATTTCTTTATGGGCTGTAAGCTAAAACAGAGGCATGTTCTTTGATTTATATCTGATGGATGTAGATTTTCTTGTTTATCACCAGCACTTGAAACACTACAGTGGATCGTTATAGATTCAAATGCGACTTTTCTGTCTTACTACAAAGGTAGTTCCAAGATCAGCCAAGATATGTTCGCTGTTTGAAGTTAGATTCTTTAGTAAGTAAAGGAAGCTTATCGCTACCAACATGCATACTACACTGAGTTTGTCTATCTCTATCTCTATCTCTTTCAGACTTTGTATGACACAATACCGTGTGTAAAAAGGCCAAAGGACTTCGCAGAGATAAAAACAGTATAGCAGCCTTTTTAAAGCTGAATCTCTTTTTTCCTGAGTGTACAGTTTGGTATCAAAGCAAGTATAAGACTCAGTTAGGAGGTGTGGCACAAAGTTTGATGTTGTTTGGATCAAATATAGCTCGAGTTTCATTTGTAGATTTTTAAAATACAGACTAATTTGGCTATTGTATGAAACTGCTGATGTTTAAATGATGTTACTGAACCAAACAAAATCAGAATGTGAGATGTTTCAGATATGTAGTTTCCATGATGCTAAACTAATAGCTATTATAGGAAAAACAGCGAGGCAGTGAGATGATAAAGATGGTAGCTAAATGTATTTTGTTAGTAATTTTGTTTAATAAAATTTAAATAAGATTCTTGCACTATGGCAGAGTAAATTCCGGTATGAGCAGCACTATGCTGATTAGATTCAGAGCCGACTCAGCTAGTTTACAGGTGGAGGATGGGAAAACTCTCCAATATGCTGCTGTAGACATAGAATCCTCCGTCCAAGGAAGGCCGGGCATTTAGCTATAATAAGATCAAGCTCATCTCATATCCCTCTGTTGCCAGACATGAGCTTCCATGCTGTGCACCCTGAGTTTCAAAATCAACAATTTCAGCTGAGCCTCAGCTCATCCATGAGCGTGCGTTTAAAAATGGGTACAACCTTAAATAGTGTACTATGATACACATATTTATTACATTTGTGCCAACAATATCGCCTTAAAAACATTCAGGCTGGAAATTTAATCTGTAGTCTGGGGAAGGAAGTTAAGGAACTTGTTGTTTATCAGCATTAATCACACTAATCAATTAATAATAATAATAATAATAATAATAATAATAATAATAATAATAATAAAACAGTGATGTCCTTAATCAGTTTTTGCTTAAATTATGGAAAAATGACTAGTAGACTACTTCTATGAACTAATAGTTAACTAGTAAAAATGAATAGTGGTTCATCCTGTATTATGTATAGCAACTTTGTCCTCACAGCTCCAATGCAAATCTAAAGAGTTTAGTGAGCAAATATATCTTGGCTGACCTGCTAAACTTCGGATAAATGGAAAATTGTGCAAATTAAATTTTTGGCCAAACTATTCCTTTAAAGAAATCGCTCCAATGTACACCCACTTCACTTCCACTGGAAAACATGTTTATCCTCTTTGCTCCACATGGTCTTAACTTCTCCAACAGCTTAGCTGAACTTGGCATGCACTCTCTTTCATGCCAAACAATATTTTCTCAGTTAAGTGGATCTTACATTTCCAATGATCTGGACTCATCTTGCACTTTTGACTGGTTCCACCATGCAACTTTTTACAGAGTGTGAGACTTCCTGTGGCTGCCTGCCCTATCAGGCTCGGTTCTGGCCATCACATGGCAGCTCATTATCAGCCCATTAATCTGAGCAGATCTCCATAAACTCCTCTATCGTCCAGGCCAGTTGTGCTAACTCTAGTGAGGATGGTCATTAAAAAGGGAGGAAAACAGTGGGAAAGAGGACAGAAAGGGGAGAATGTAAAGGTGGGAGAAACAGAAACATGTGGAAACTTGTTCCGTATTTCTTTTCTCCATCGTGTTACTATTTGATGTCCCCAAATTTCTTCCGTCTAGCATTCACATCCTTTTTAATCATTCCACTGGTGATGTGATTCGCTCCAAGAGTTTTCTTACCGCTTCCATTAGGTTTCTAGACACTTATTGTCTTGCAGTGGCTAATGCTCCATGCTAATCCATGAACGTAGCGGCTACACGCTGCTACTCCTGAGAGCCAGAGGACTATCGATTGTCCCTCAGGACTTGCTTCCACACACTCCCTGACACTGAGTATATTAATATTGACTGCCCACGTTCCAGCTGGTGCTAGCATGGTACTGAAAAACATTGGGAGCCAATTTTCCCTGCTCTAAAGGATTTTTTAATGGAGGAAGTGCGACTCACAAGGGCTATACTCTATAACTATGGAGGAAGTAAATTGAATAGCTGCATTGTGGCAGCTCCTGGTTAGGCATTGTTTGCAATGTTGCAATGGAGATGCTTTGGGGAAAAAGTAAACTCTAAAACACTTCAGAGTCCTTCAGTATGTTGTTATTAAAAGTCCTACCCTTAAAAAAACACTTAACAGAGAATTTCCTTATCAGACAATTTTCCTAAAAGAACTCCTTAATTATATTTCCCTAAATTAGAGAATGTACCTAGAGGAACAACTTTAGGAACACTTAATTATCCAACAAGCCCTTGAGGAACTTTTCTTTCCTAATAATGTACAGTATAAACAGTCGAGAGCTTTACTTCTTGGCACATATCACCCCACGTTAAAAGTGTAAAGATTTTGTGTGACAAAATGAGCTTCACTATGAACGGATGTATGTCTTTCAAGGAAGGTTATAGATGTACATTCATATAAAAGCAATCTTTTATCAGCTTCAATCCTCCTCTCATCCATGATGTGGTGTTAAGGTCAGTATCCGGGCCGTGAGGTGATTTTGTGGACCCCAAATATTTTAAATTAACATGCTTTCATTGATAACTCTGTTATACAAAGTGATGCAAAGAAGACAGAAGTGTAAAGCTGAGCAGTTGAATATTAAGCATCTCACTCAAGGGGTCAGTAGCAGCTTTTTGGACGTGCTGGGATTTTTCCTGGGACTAACACAGAAACACTAAGCTTTTTGGATTCTTTGGCTAGTTAAGGTTTTATAGGGGTTTTTTTCCCACTAAAACAGCTGAACTTGTGACCCAGTTTCAGTCTGAAACCCTCTGTCTTATGGTCCTACATAGAACAGTTAAGGTTTTCTACAGAGAGGGGGAAACTGGAGAACCTTTAAAGGTTATAGATTTAGATTTTTATGGAAAAATAGTTAACTCTTAATCCCTAAAGTGTTCTTCAGGTGTGTCATTATTAAAGCTTCTATGTAAAACCCTTAACAGAGTATTTCTCTATCAGAAGATGTTCCTAGAGGATATCCTTTAAGAACTCTTAATTATTCAACAAATCCTTAAGGAACATTTGTGCCTTAATTGTGTACAGTATTAACAATACTCTTTTTTTCATAGAGTATAATACTGCTATGTTGAAAATTACAACGACAATTGGAACATAATCTGGTTGACATTTTATACAACAAAGCAACTCTTTTATCTGATATTGTTTATCTTGTGTAAATTCACAGCTCATGTAATTTTAAAGGAACAAATGGCATTAATGGAATATGCCTTTAGGGAAAATAAGAGTTCAGTGAGAAACAAAAGTTCATATGGTTTACGGGGGCTTAATTGTTCCAGTTTCTAAAGGAGTCTTAGTCAGAATCTTTTCCGAAAGTGAAACTCTCTGTTGAAGGATTCTGCGTAGGTTGCACCAGATGGACAAATTGATAAACTGAGGAAACGTGTAAACATGTCAAAGCAATTTGTTTCTGGTAACAGTTAATTTCACTTTGTTATTAATTAATCTATGTGCAATTTAAATCCCAGTTGGGGTTGGGATTACGTTTTAAGATCACTTCTACTGCTAACCCGCTATTTGTGCTAGTCATCAACATAATAAAAAAAAAAGTTAATGTTGTCTGTACACATTCTGCCATGTTCTCTAAAATATTGCTAGTGGTATTCTGTGACACCCCGGGATCTATAAACAGGAGGGAAAAAGTGAAGCAAACGACTGACATCCAACCAAATGGGATAAAGGGACATCTCTACTTACTTGTCAATCAAGTTGACTGTTTATTCAGAAAGCTCCGCTTCCTTTGGAGGGCGGTAGGGGTGTTTTTTTAAACTTTGAGCTTACGTCTACCAAAATCACTGAGTATGGTCACTGTTCATGTCACACTTGTAAACTTGTTAACGGGCTCAGTTGGTTTAATAAACGAGTATTTTACAGCAACAGCTCTGACTCACAGCAATGAGCCAAACACAGTGAATAAACCTGGCTGTTCTTATAGATCAATTTTGGATGACCGTTTAATTGGGCTTGTCTGTAGAGCCAAAACCAGGTCAGATTAAGCAAACTGATGTATGGGCCTGAACTGTGGAAGCTAGACGAAGGAGAAACCTCCTGACATTTAAAGCTATTGGCTTTTCCTGCTCCGCTGCCAATT